CCCCGCCCCCCCCCCCCCGGCCCCCAGTCTTTTGGCGGGTGGGGGGCGCGGGAAAAGTTTCACTCGTGCCAACAACCTTAAAAGCCACAAACTTATTCACACGGGGCAGAAAATGTACAAGTGCGAGGACTGCCCCATGACCTTCCAGCAGGCCATCAGCCTCAAGAACCATCAGAGGATCCACAGCAGCGTGCGCCCCCACAGCTGTGACCTTTGTGGCAAGACTTTTCGCCAGTCTATGAGCCTGACGGCCCACCGCCGCGTCCACACTGGAGAGCGTCCGTTTAAGTGTCAGATGTGCAACAAAACCTTCATCAAGCAGTGGCAGTTAAAGAGGCACTCCATGGTTCACACCGGGGAGAAACCATACAGCTGTGAAGTATGTGGCCACCGCTTTAGGCTGGCACGAAACCTGCATCGCCACACACTTAGGCACACGGGCGTCAAGCTCTTCATGTGCGGCATGTGTGGGAAAGGCTTCACTCGTGCCGACAGCCTCAAAATCCACGAACTCATCCACACGGGGCAAAAACCTTTCAAGTGCGAAGACTGTTCCAAGACTTTCAGACAAGCTGTGGGTCTAAAAAACCACCGGAGGATCCACGGCGACGCGCCGCCCTTTCGCTGCGAGTTCTGCGGCAAGACCTTCTGCCATTCCATAAACCTGACGATCCACCGCCGCGTGCACACCGACGAGCGGCCCTTCAAGTGCCAGGAGTGCGGCAAGACCTTCCGCCAGTCCATTAGCCTGAAGGTTCACCGCCGCATCCACACTGGCGAGCGACCGTTTAGCTGCAAGGAGTGCGGCAGGACATTCAGTCAGCAGACCAGTCTGATTGTGCACAGCCGCACACATTCCACAGAGAAGCCGTACTCCTGCACCTGCTGCGACAAGAAGTTCAAAGACCCCAGCAGCCTGAAGGTGCACCAACGGGTGCACACCGGCGAGAAGCCGTACACCTGCAACATCTGCAGCAAGACCTTCAGCCAGGGCAGCCACCTGCGCACACACAGGATCCACATGCACGCAGGCGGAAAGCAGTACATCTGTGAAAAGTGCGGGAAGACGTACTCCAATCAAAGCAACCTGAAGCTGCACAAATGCCGCTTTGCATAAACTGTAAACTACACACAATAACAAATGACCTCTGATTGGACAGCCCTGATTGAAGCTCCGCCCACTGTCATTGTGACCATAACTTGGTTATAAAGTTACAGATAAAATAACTGTAAATATTCAAGTTGTACAAAAAAGCTTTTTTCCCGATGTTTATAAGATATTTAATAAAATATTTGGAACATAAGAGTATTATATAAATATTTACACAGAGTTGTACATATAAAGAAAAGGAAAAACAATAAATATGAATCAATATTTGAAGATAATGTATACGTTTCCCTTGTTAAAGCCTACTGTGTGTGTGTGTGTGTGTGTGTGAGTGAGATCCTGCTGCACTACAGTGTCTCAGACTTGATGCTGGTTGTTTTGGTCTGACCACTGTACAGCTGACATGCTAACAATGCTAGGCTAATTCACTATCTGAGAATCTGATTGGTCTGACAGAGTACCTCCACACCCAGGGGCCGACATCAGGACTTGGACCTGAGGCTGACTACAGTCCAGCTCTGATGCTCTGCTCCTTCTGAACCCTGGATGGCGCTGTTGTCCTGAGGAGACCTTGTCTCTGACCTGTCCTACAGCCCAGTGTGCCCTGCTGTGCCAGATAAGAACAGTGTCAGAAGTCCAGAGACAGAGAGACGACCACAGAGGGGCGTCCTCTGTGGTCGTCCCCCAGCAGCCGCATCTGAAGCTGCTACAGAGACGGAAAAAATTAGAAGCAGAGAAATGTTCCTGTTCTGTTGGACTCACCTTTGTTTGGTATTCAGGTCTTCAGTGGTGGACCTGTGGAGGGCTGCTGAACTTGGTCTTCACCCTCAGCTGTGGTTCTGGTCTGCAGAGTCAACTGAGGAGGGGGAGAGAAAAACGAACCCTGGAGTAGTTCCAGTGTTAGTTCTAGGACCTGGTCTGGGTCTTTGATTTCAGGATCATATTGAACATCACACAGACCTTCATTTTTACCCTTCACAGTGTTCAAAGTTTGGTCCTCGGGCCAATTTTAGGACATGGACAGTTTTAATGCGGCCCATCACTTCTAATCTAACATTCATTCCAATGAACTCTACATCACTTTTCACCCTGTACAGTTCAACTAGCACTTTAGATATTGTTACACTAATCTTTTGTGGAAAATAATTTTTTTTAGCTTTTTTACAATTCAATTTATCATTTAATATAAAATCTGTTCATGGCCTAAATTTCAGTTAGTTCCTGGACTAACTCTTAGTTCTTCAGGGTTTTATCAGAGGGACAGAGCAGTTGGAGTCACAGGAGTCACCTGCTCATGATTTCTGTCATTCCATGAAGCAGTAGAAGCTCCTGAACTTGTCATTAATGTGACTATTGGTCAGGACACACTGACTGACACCGTCCCAGTCCAGGCCTCAGGTCCTGACTCTGGAGCTACAGTAATGGGAGATGCTGGATTCAGGTTCACTCTGACCCACTTTTGTCTGAATGAGGAACAGTGTTAACAGGAGAGGACAAAGGAGGAGGAGGAGGAGGAGAGGAGCTGAGATACAGGCCGAGGAGCTCAAGACATTTACTACAAAACTAAGATGCAGTTTGTCAATGTCCAGCTGGACAAACAAAACACAGCTACTAATATTAGCAACATATAACTAAATTAGAAAAAATAAAATAATGAAACAGCAACAGCCTACTTCAAAAGTAGCTAAAGGCTGGGACATAAATGGAAAAGACACCTAGGAAAACCTAGCCAAAAGATAACGAGCTAATATAATCTGCTTAAAAAATTGGCCAGAGGATAGCTAAAGGTTGGCCAGTTATGAAGCAACATGCTACGACTAACCCAAACCTTAAACGTTCTACCTTTAGTTTGACTGTTGATGGATGTTGTGGTTCTCCATGCTGTTGGACTCCATGTAAAGAATATTCCTCACGTTCTCAAACCTGCTGGTCTGCAGCAGCCTGGGAGCTGGGAGTGTTTCTGATGGAGCTCCTGAAGTGATAATGATGAGAGATGGGCTTCAATCAGCTGTGACCAGGGACAGGCTGGGGGACAGGCTGGAGCACGACCTGTGTGTGTGTGTGTGTGTGTGTGTCAGGCACATACAGATGGTTTAAAAGGCCTGGTTGAGCTGAGCTGGATCTGTTGATGATGTTTCCTCTCCATCTGCTGAAGCTTATTCTCCAGGACAGTTATTAACCAGTTATTAACCAGCTGTGGTCTGAGGGAGGACAGGGATGAAGAGATGAGACACAGACAGACACAGAGAGACAGGCTGTATTGTTTAATAATTCATATTTAACAATATTTCACCCGAAAACGTATCTTTGCCTCTTTTTTCTTTAGGACTACCTAATTTCCAGGTTAACCTTAAGTTTTCTTGGTCCAATTTGTTGTATGTCTATTTTTGGTTAAACAATAAGCCTTAGCTCAGTCTTCCTGTACAACTTTGCCTCATGTTTAAGTGTTATGTGGAAACTTAACTTTCACCTGTGTTAATCTCACCTCCAGCTAACAGCATTGATTTGTTTTGCTATCTTTTAGTAATGCATACTTTAGCTTTACCGTAGCTCTATGTGTAGCTGCCACCTTCTGTGAACACGTGTGCTCTACATCAGTATGTGGTTGTATCTGCTGTGACTGTTTACCTTTCTGTGACCATATGGTCTGATCAGGATCAATAGCAGATCATGGCTCCAAATTAGCACGGACGCTAATGGGGCTAATCACACTGACATTCTGAGATGTTCTCCACTAATGTGGACAAACAGACTGATGACCTCAAGCCTCTTTTCTCCAGCTATGCAGATTAAAGGGCACAGGGTGCATCATGGGAAATCTCAATGGAGGTTGACATAAAACAAGATGGACCCTCCTCACAAAAACAAAATAAAATAGACAAACATTTATCTAGTTTTTTTCTTTTTCATATAATTTTTGACAATTTTGCTAGAATTATTTTTTTTAAAGCCATGCTTAAATTATTAATATGCACAAAACACACTCACTATTTCTCAATTGCAATTGTGCACGGGTCGACTGATAAAAGCCTCCAGTGTTCTTGAGAATTGTGCACGAGTCGACTGATAAAAGCCTCCAGTGTTCTCAGAACAGTCACGTGTTGGAGTCTATTTGGAGTTTATGTGTAGGTTGACATGGTGAGCGGTCAACATACATTAACCTCGCTCGTTCAGTGCTGCAGGTCCTGGATGTAGGAGTGTAACAGAAGGGGGGGGGGCGAAGGGGGGGGCAGAATCATCTCTGTGCCATTACATAACTTCTGACTTAATATTTCCACCTTCTCTCTGTCTCCGTCCATCACTACTGTCCCAACCACCTGTGTCCAGGGCAGGGTTTAAACCCGGATTCCAGCAGGATTACACTAACACCACGGGCACGCACGCACGCACGCACACGCACGCACACACACACACACACGAGAGGGAGACAGCCTCTAAGCATGCATTATCTCCTACTTAAATCTAAAATCCCCGCAAGGTCAAGCAAAAAGTTCCAGGTCATGAGGTTAGGACTCCAGAGCAGACTGGGAATATCTGTTCCCATTGGTTAGAGATTACAGAGAGAGACAGAGAGAGAGAGAGAGAGAGGGAGAGAGAGGGGGAGAGAGAGTCATATTTACCACTGTTTTTGTATTAGTTTCATTCCAGCAGCGTCACTGCTCTAACACCCTTGCTCTCTGAAGTGACCTGTGGTGGGGGCTGACCCTCAGAGGTCAGTCGGCCTCAGGCTGACCCACACACACACACACTCCTGTACAGTAGCGGCTCAGTGAGCAGACTAAGATGCTGATGGTCATAATATTCACAGTATAATTGTGCTGCCTGACTCATGTGTCTCCTTCAGATGATTTATGTTCTGGTTTACAGCAGCCCTCGCCTCCTCCACATCATTTCTCCTTCCCTGTGCAGCTTCTTTTTCCTCTCCTCGCTTCACTGAGTCCTGTGAGGCAGTAAATGCTCTCAGCGCTGTTGAGAACAGCAGCAGGGAAAAAAAACCCAAAACAAAACACGCTCTCGTCCTTGACGTTCAGCCGTAGAGGCGACGTCACAAACCTGTGACGCACGCACTCTCTGCGTTGACACTCGCAGCCTGACAGGAAGAGATTTCAGTGTTCCGCCTGAAAACTGATCCATGTCCTCACATCAACACACAACGAGAGAGGGAGAAACCACAGAACTGACTCACTGTGTTTTTTTTACAAAAAAGAATATATATATATATATATATATCGACATCTGAGAATATCAGAGAACACGCATTTGTGCTGTTGTCTAACAGGAAGATGGAGTAATGTCATAACTATACAGTGACTATAAAAATAATCTTGCACAAAATGCAAAAAATGTACATGAAAACAATCATCTTATTTGTTTGTTTGTTTAGAGCAGTGGTTCTCAAACTGTGGTACATGTACCACCGGTGGTACGCGGGGTATATTCATATTTTCACATTTACATTTTCAATTGAAGAAATCTGAAACATACCATGCAGAATTAATACAACATTTAGAAAGTATGTGTAGCTACTTGTGAGATTATAAAAAAGGATGTCAGGTCTTTTTATTTATTTACTTTTTTTAATTTCAATAATATAAATAATATTATAATCTAACTGTTTTAAAATATTATTAAAAATACATACATATACATTAAATATTAAGATTAATGTGAATTGTTATTATAATATTCTAGTATAATGATTAAACATATTATACATTAATATTAATAAAATAATTGTTAGCAGTATATTTCATTACTAATGTTTATAATAATTATAACCGTCAACATACAGTTCATGTATGTTTGTATGATATACATAGATATATGTATATCTATATACAGTATATGTCTGTATGTGGTCAGAGCCACAGGACGGTGGCAGTGGTTCAGGTTTCAGACCTGATGTGATTTACTACCAGATAAAGATCATGGTGTGTGGGACACATAACCTGAGGTCAAATGTCAGATGAACATCTGTGGCTCTAAAAATGACCCTGACCCACTTTTACAGGTCTTCAAGGACCTGGCATCAGCAGGAGTTTACTGCGTCTCTGGAACTCTGGAGAAAAGGACAGGAGCTGAAGATTTTTGAATTTAATTCAATAATAAACAAATTACTTTTTTATTATTCTAACATATTTTCCAATGGTTTTAGGTCTGAGTCACAAAACAGTTCTAGTTGAATCAAATTGAACTAGGTTTTTACATCAGTCCACACCAGAAATCTGTGATTTCATGTCCCAGAAACAAGCCCAAGTTCAGTTCATAAAGAAACAATGGAAT